TAGTAGTAGGAGGCCTGGTCCTAGTCTAGGCCTATAATATAGTAAAATTCTGTATAAGTAGTCATATGATTACAGGTTTACATTGTACCAAGGTCAATATTAACGATCGCATTTATTTTTCATTGAAAATAAAAAAAAAACTTAAAAAAATATATATATAATATAAACTATAATACCGTAGTTTCATTCAATGGGGCCCCGACAGTTTTAAGCAATAAAAGCTGGGTTCTGATGTTTGAAATCATGCTTCAATAAATGCGATCGTTAATATCGATCTTGGTACAATGTAAACCTGTAATCATATGACTACTTATACAGAATTTTACTATATTATAGGCCTAGACTAGGCCTCCTACTATAGTATAGAGGCCTAGTCCAAGACCTTGTTGCAACTCCCAGCCCACATAAGCCTAACCTATAATGCCAAGCATAGGGCTCGTGATCGCGGTACCCTGACCATTAAGAAGACGCACTGGGAAGCGTTGTTCACGGCATTGGACTGCGGCGAAAAATGATTCCCCCATCATTAATGGAACAGGCCACGTCATGCTTGGCTGATTAGTTTTGATTTACATTTCGCAAGTCTAGTGCCATACGCAGCAAAAGTCCATTTCTAGTGTTGTTGTCGAATGCATTTCAAACCAGCCTGGTTTTTGATTTACGTTTTGGAATAGAATTAGGAGAGGGCATTTGATCAAGTCAGACCTACGTTTTGAATTTGAATTACATTTTAAAGAAATTAGAACTACATTTTGAAAAATTTGAACTACGTTTTGAAAAATTAGAACTTCATTTTGGGAAACTAAGATCTACATTTTGAGAAATTTACGCCTACGTTTTGATAAATTAGACATTGAATTTTGCAATTACATTTTGATTTTAACATGGACTTTTGCTGCGTATGGCACCCCATAGAACTCTGCTATCCAATTTGTTGGCTCACTGTGTGCACTGTAGCGTGTATGTACCTAAATACAAAACGGCGGGGTAAAATTAGAAGATGTAACAGCAGTATGTTCCACTAACTTAAATTTCGTACTCGGTAAAATGTGTTAGGCCCCATAAAAAAAATTATTAGTTTATCATCCTATCAAGACCAAAAAACTGATGAGGGAGGGAGGTTTTTTTTTTTTTTTTTTTTGGG